GAGGCTGCCTTCAGCTCAGGTCTGGATCCCAGGGTCCTGGTATAAACCCCCCACTCCACCACTGTCCCCCCCCCCCACTCCACCACTGCCCCCCTCCCCCCAATCAACTGATTCCCTGCTCAGCAGGGGAGTCTGTTTCTTCCTCTCCCTCCCCCTCCCCCCACTCATGCTCTCTCTTGCTTGTACTTTCTCTCAAATAAATAAATAAAATCTTAAAAAAAAAAAAGATTTATGTAATATCTCATGAGAAATTTCCATCCTGAATTTGCCATTTGGTATTAATTGAGGCTGGGACTCACTGACATTGCAGGTTAACTTGTAGAAGTGTGACTAATAGAGATGCAAATGATTTCTGACTAGTAGATAAGATAACCCCAGAGGTTATAGTTTTATCACCCTGTAGGGTAGTAAACCAGTTTTGTATCTGCCAGTGACGTTATCCTGAAGTTCTTCTTAAAATTGCCCACAAGTATCTGTTATTGGTTCCCTCATTAATTAATGAGTTAAATAAAATCTTTGACGTGTTTATTCTATATTTTTGAAAGAGTCATGTTTTCAACTCTTGAAATGTATACTTTGACAGAGGCCAGTGATCAATCCTGGGACAATGAGAATTCCTCAGCCTGGACTTGTCCTCTGGCATTTGCATCTCTTGGAAGCCTCAAAGGGAAGAACCAGGTAGGAAAGGATTCTAGTGTTATGGGACCTTAGGTCCTGGCCAAATATTACCTCCGTGGCATCAAATCAAGGCCACAAGCAATGTATTGTAAAAAACAGTAGATGAAAATTCAAGTATGTGCAACAAAATAAAGTAGTATTGGATAATAACTCAAATATAAATAAATACCCATGAGTTCATTCTGATTAAATATATGACTGAGTAAATGAGTGAGAAGTCACAAACCTCCTGTGCAGAAGAACCCCAAATAATTTATGTCAATTCCCACCCTTAAGGAGGAAGAACAGATCTCCTCTCCTCTATAAGAGTGGCCTGCACATGACTTTCTTCCAAAGAGTACAATATGAAAAGAAGGAAGAAAGAGTAACTTAACAATGAAGCAATGTGGCAAACACTAACTCAGCCAGGTGATCTGGGTGAATGTCAACAGTGAGAATATTTGCCCTTGATACAGTGTAATGAAAATGTCACTGAATTCCTATGGCCTTCCAAAAACACATAGCCCCTGTTTAATCATGACAAAACATCAAATGATTCCTAACAGAGGTACATTCTATAAAATGCCTGATCTGTACTCCTCAAAACTCATCAAAAATAAGGGGAGTCTGAGAAACTGCCCCAGCCAAGAGGAATTTAAGGAAACCTAACTACTGAATGTAATGTGGTATCCTGGATGGGATCCTAGAATGGAAAAAAGGACATTAGGGAAAAACTGAGGAAATCTGAATAAAGCATGGATTTCAGTTAACAATAACATATCAATATCGGTTTGTTAATTGTGACAGATATACCATATTAATGGATGATATTGATAATCAGAGAAACTGGCTGTGAGGTATATGGGAACTCTGTACTATCTTCATAATGTTTCCATAAATCTAAAACTGTTCAGAAATAAAGTTTATCTAAAAATAAATCATAATATCACATACAGAATTTTAAAGACGATTAAATCAAATGCCAATTCCCCAGCTTATTGACTGTGACCTTGGCTAAGTCTTTTAACCTAAGTGTCATCCGTAAAATGTACCGTTATCCACCTCACAAGATTGTTATGAAAGTAAAATGCAAAAGCACCTGGTTCCCTCCACCTTGCCTTAAGGACTACCAAAATGCACTTGAGTGAACCTGGGGAGGAAATGCACTCTAATTTGCCTAGAAACTAGGTCCTTTGCACCTTCTTGAAACATTCTAGCAGTGTCAGGTATAGCCCCCCCCTCCCCCTACCCAGTGCAAAGCTGACTAAATGCTCAGCAGTTCCCAAAAGACAGTTCTAGTGCCCTCCATCATCTGAGGTTCTTGGTCTACCAAGAGGGAAGGCTGGTGTGCAAAATGCGGTTGAGTTTTCTACACTTACAGAGAAGGGCAAAGCCTAAGTGGGTGTAGAAGGAAGGAGGAGGTCTTCACTTAGAATACACCTGAGAGGATTTGGAGGTGGTTCGTTAGTGAGACAGCCACGCCTCTTTCCCGAGGGACTTCGCTTGGATGGGGAGTCCAACAGCACCTGTGGGGCCTGCAATCCCGGGGAGGAGGCTGCTGGGCAGAGCTGGGATGCCCCCGGCATCACTCTCTGGACCAGGCACCAGGCAGGGGAAGATGACAGTCTTTTCAGAAAGGGAGTTGCACTTATACATGCCTGTTTTTTCAGAGCTCTACACCAGAGGGCAGTATAGGTGCTTGGTTCTAGAGATGCCCTCTTTTCCTAGAGGGTATAGCTGAGTAATAGGTCTTCTCACAGGGTTTTTCTGCGTAATAAAAGAGGAAGAAGGTACATGTATTCATTCTCTTTTGCTGTGGAAGAAAGTACCACAAACTCAGCAGCTCACAAAAACACCCATTCGTGAGCCCAAAGCTCTGCAGGTCAGCCGTGGATTGCTTTCACGGTCAAAGAGAGGAGGCAATGGTGGGTATGGCTGGCTGCAGGGGTGATCTAGGAAACCAGGCATATAACACTCAAGCCATCAACACTGGCTAATGAGTGTGATCATGCGACAGCCACATCAGCCAAGGAAAAGAAAAGGATATGATGCAGCGTGCTTTAGAAGAGCCCAAGGGAGCAACTGAGTGGGGATTTGACTAGGTTTACAAAATTCCCTGGGTGATCCTAAAATCTGACTTCAGATCAGAGTTTCATTCTCTGTGATGGGAGAGTTGGGGTGCTGTTCAATTCATCAGCACACTGAAATTTTTCCAAGTCTTAAAATAAAACAAAACCCTCCTGACTCTAGAACTTTTCTTCTGTGGTCTACATCCCTTGAAGGCTGTTTTTTATTTTCTTTTCCAAGCTATCCTGGAAGAAAAAAAAAAAAAGAACCTTTTCAAGATGCAAAAATAGGACTTCTAACTGCAAAAATAGGCTTAATCCTCCCTCGACTGCCTATTGCCTTTGCAACAAACCCACAGATTTTACTCAGGCTTAAAAGGAGAACACCCAAGCAGAAATGAGCTTAGTTGTACTGTCCAGACTACAAAACAGAAAACATAAACTCTGCCTTCCTTCTACTTTCCCTAACATGCTGCACTGTATGTATGTATGTATGTATGCATGCATGAGAGAGTGGGGGGTGGGCAGAGCAAGAGGGAGAAAGAGAAACTTAAGCTCAATTTCATGATCCTGAGATCATGACCTAAGCCAAAACCAAGAGCCAGGCCCACCCAGGCATCCCTGACATGCTGCATTTTTAAGTTTAAAGAACAGAAGCAGCCGAAGGAGGTCTGTGCTCTTTCTTCTCTGGAGACATTTTTTTTAACAACCAATTTTGTTAACCAGTTAGGAAGCCTTACTTCTCCTTACTTGGTATTTAAAATTTATGGGGTTCTGCTGTTCAAATTTGGTAAAGAATCATATGCATTTAAGTAGTATCATTTGTTGCAAGATGTCAGGAGCAGCTAGACCTCTTTACTGACTTCTTGGGATGAGAAAGAGCCTGTAAATGGGTTTTCAAGAAAAATAACTCCTCTTTCTGCCTCTCTTGGTTAATCTACAATAGGAAGGGGACGCTAAATTTGGTGGAGAATGGAGAAGACATTGCAATGAGGAGAAAGGAATTAACCCATAAAATCTTTGTGAGTGCAAGGCTTATTACTCTGAGATGACCTTGAAACATTTCACCACCTACTTCTGTGCTGCCAGCTGGCTTCGCAATGGACAATAAAGTCTCCAAAAATACTCCGTGTAAAATTATTGTTTGTCTTTATTAATCTACCCTAGTGACCCTGGTGGAACGTTGCTCCATCAGGAAAGGTAGAGTTCCAGGAGAGCCATCTAGCTAGTCAACTTAATTACCAATGGCCGAATTATCACAAGAAGCCGGTTACTCACTGCTTCCTTTTTGGCAGTCTTTCCTATGGTTGAGGCTACCTCCCACTTCCTTATCAAACCTCACTTTGTATTTCTCACTTTTATCAGTGCATTTCCATTCAGACACCAGGCAGTCTGGGACCAATGGCACTCTCTAGTCAATACTCCTATCACAGAGAGGGCATTTAAAATTCCTTAACTGATCCAACACTTCCCCTTTACGTCCAAATTAACATTTTCTCTCAGCTAGATGGGGACTTCTTCCTTCCTTACTCTAGATGCTATTTTCTCTAACTCCATGCCAGGACTTGGCAGATGAGTCAAGAAAACCTATCCCCACTTTCACAGATACTGCCCCACACAGATATCGCATACTTGTAAAGCTCCTAAACATTCATCTTTTTAAACCCACCTTGAGAAGAGTTACACATAAGCTGTTGATCCTCAGTTCCAAGTGGACACTGGGCTTATGTAGGCTTTTTCTGACACATAAATTGTCAACAGATAGGGCTATTGTCTTTATTGAATCACACTCTCTCCTTCAGACTGACACCAAAAAGAACACTTTAAAAAGCTGGAAACATGAGGGCCCCGAGGAGGAGAAAGAGGAAGAGAAGAACAAAAGGCCAAAAGGGAGGTGGTGGGGAAAAAATAAAATAAGGCTAAGAAATAATCTCAAAACAAAATGCCACGTATAAGAACACATTCTTGGCATTCTCACCTTTCAAAATTAAAACAACCTAACCATCCAATGTTAGAGGCATGATTAAGTGAATTATCATCTATTCACACAATAGAATATGGTGCAGCCATCAAATGTTCCTTTTGAAGAATGTGCTGCAGCAAAGAGCAAAAGTTTATGTAACAATAAATGGGAAAAAAAGCAAAACAGGGTACCTGGCTGGCTCAGCTGAAAGAGTGTGTGACTCTTGAACTGGGGTCGTGAGTTCAAGCCCTCTGTGGGGTATAGAGGTTACTTGAGTAAATAAAACTTTAAAGAAGGAATAAAAAAGTAAAACAAGCTTTGCACAGTGGCAGTATTGTAGCCAGTGAGGTTTATCTGAGGCACAATTATTGCTAATTGATCATTTCCCAATACCCCACCGTGACAACTCAAATTACAGTGTGCACTGACAATTTTTGACAGTCTCTTTCGAGACTGAATTGGGGGGGGGAGAAGCAAAACAGAGTCATATTGTACTGTAATGTGCTTATCAATTCATGTGTCTGTAGCACCATTAGATTGAGGGAAGGGTAAAGAGTAGGAGCAGCAGAGAGCCATGTCAAGGACAGAACCCTGAGGAACTCTGACATCTATGGAATGTTCCAGAAAGGGGTGTCTTCAAAGAAGACAGAAAAAATGAAGCAAAGAAGCCATGGAAGGGACTGAACCAAGAGAGTGTGAGGTCACAGAATATGGGAAAAGATGGCACATCCAAGGTGTCTCCCAAAGTGGGAGATCCAAGTATACTACGTTAGCTGTGAGCAAACTTGAGCAAAGTTTCAGGAGGAACTTAGCAAGTTGCATCACATCACAGGGTAAGGGAGAGATGGGATCTGAGCCGGCTGGCCTTTCAGCAAAGCCTATGCTCTCTGCTTTACTCTAGGCTGCCTCCCTACTATGTTAGAAATACCTCCTGAATGGGTAGGAGATCATGATAGAAAAAGGCTTCATCAGCAGTATTTTCCTTTTTCTTTAAGATTTTATTTATTTATTTGAGAAAGAGAGAGAGAGAGAGGAGAGAGAGAGCATGAGCAGGGTGGAGGGGTACAGGGAGAAGGTGAAGCAGGCTCCCACCAGAGCAGGGAGCCCGCTGATGGCCTTGATCCCGGGAACTCAGGATCACGACGGGAGCCAAGATAGATGCCCACCGACTGAGCCACCCAGGCGTCCCATGTATTTTCTACTTAAGGGCTACACTTTGATACAAGGACAGCAGGGGGAGTAGAAGGTGAGAAAATGGACCCCAGGTCAATTGATTAGTATGGGGAGTGCAAACCGCATTGCTTGCAAAGCAGATAAAAGGTAGAAGGGGAAGCTGCCTCGCTAACGCACCTACACCCACTGCCTACAGGGGGCAGCAGTGCAGGAACCTCAGCCACTGCGGCTGGATCAGCCAATTTGTTCAAAGATGCCAGAAATCTGGATTTTATCTTTCTCTGTGACATTTTCACATTTTAAATGCTGGGATCTAAATAAAAAACATTTTAAAACACTATGCAGACCAGATAAATCTGTGGAGTCGATTGGGTCCAATTTTAGACTCCAGCTTCCTATCGGTAAAGGCAGTTTGTCTTCAGAAACTGTACCTTCAGTGGTGTTGGTTCCATCCAGAGCTAATCCCCAGGCTGAGGGGAAATCCCTGAGCAGGCCTGGGGTGGGGGCACTTCCCTACCAACTTCCTTCCCCAGCTTATCTCATTGGGCCCATCACTCAACTTACTATGATGAATGCTTTGTTGGGTTCAGTTCCATAGAGTTAAAGGAGCATGGAGTGTCTCTCATCACAGCCCTTCTTTCCTAGGAAAATAAATGGTCAGCTCCCTGAAGTTGGGGATTTTTTATGCAATGACTTTCCTCTACGAGATTTATTGCAGCAGCTTTGTGAGAGATTTGTAGTAAGTAGTGTTCGGGCTGTAGGTCTTAAATTCTCAATGCCACAGTCATAACTCTCCAGGAAGGAAATGATAGAAGATCACAGTAGCTAATACTGCATTATGATGATACTGTCTCCGCAGAAATGATTGCCGTCTTGCTGCTGCTGTCTTACTTAGGAAACGTGAGCTCTTCAGATGTGCTTGAGATATCTATCCTGGTGGCATTTTGCAAGATCCCAAAGAAACTAGGGGAAGGGAGCAAACATTTACTGAGTGTCTACCACTTCCCTTTTCACATATGGGGAGACTGAGGCTCAAAGAAGTTAAGTCCTTTTCCCAAGGTCTCCTGCTGTAAAACCTTTCTGATTACAAAGCAGATCTCACCTACCTTGCCACATGGAACTTATTTTTAAACGTAAGAGAATGTCTAATCAATCAAAGTTGATAGGAGTGAATGGTGAAATATTTTCCCCATTTTACGTTTCAATGCACTTCACTTTCAGACTCAGTGCACAGTGTACAGGAAGTCCAGGGGATAAACAATCTATATAACGCCATGAGGAAACAATCGGACAGACCCAGGCTGCGGAATAAAGACAATCAACCCAGTCACTGTCAATGTCATGGTGAAAAATGTCAAGATGCTTTTCTAGTTTAAAAGAGACTGAGGGACGCCTCGGTGGCTTGGTTGGTTAGGCATCTTCCTTCAGCTCAGATCCTGATCCCAGAGTCCTGGGATGGAGTCCCACATAGGGCTGCTTGCTCAGCAGGGAGCCTGCTTCTCCCTCTGCCTGATGTTCCCTCTGTTTACTCTCTCTCTCTGACAAATAAATAAACAAAATCTTCAATAAATAAATAAGAATGAAAAGACAAATTAACAAATGCAAGATACAAACCTTAATTGGATCTTGGTTCCAAATGGAACTATTGGGTATAATATTTTGGGAACAACTGAGGAAATTTGAATATGGACTAGATATTAGATGATATTAGTGATCATTATTCATTGTCTTAAATGTGATAATGGCATGTGGTTATGCAGGGAAAGTCTTATTCTTAGGAGATACCTACTGAAGTACTTAGGATTAAAGTATCATGATGTCTGCCCTTTAGTTTCAAATGACTGAGAAAAAAATTATGTGTGTCTGTATAAAATATAAATTGTTGAATCTAGATGGTGAGCATAGAGGTGTTTGGTACACTATTCTTTCAACTTTCCTGTGCATTTAAAATTCTTCATAGTAAAAAAAAAAAATAGATTCCTCATAGTATAAAGTGAAAATATACAAGTAAAAAAAAATGACTGGATTAAGCTGCCTCAGAATGATGAAGAGGGGACTATACTGAATAGGGTAAATGCATTTTTAAATTCCTTTAGAAGATTACAAATATGGATAAACTTAGAGAGCTTCGAATATGTGTTCATTAGAGTAAATGAAAAACATATTTTAAAAGGATAGATGTACATAACCACAGCCATATAAAAATATATTTGCTGGTGGACAAGAACTAAAACTATGTTTGGTAGTGGAAAGAGGTGATTTTTTCCCCCAAAATTACTCTTGCTATATCACCTTTTCCATTAATATAATCATAAAAAATATGCTCAAACACCAAGGCAGAAAAAGATCATAATCTTTTGCTATAGTGTGAGGTTACAGATGACTTTTTCTTTTAAGAGTCATCCTCCATTATAAAAAGTCCATTATAAAACAACATCCTGTATTTTTATAATCAGTAAGTGCATTAAATTTATTGCATTACTAAAAACACATCAATATGGGGACCTCAGCTCCAAAATTGCAGCATGGCTAAGAAAGATCTAGGGAAAACAAGTGAAATTAAATCATTAAAAATTTAAAACAGCTTCAGAAAGTTAGAAGTTTGGTTCAGGAATAGCCAGGCAAATAGTTTCATCTGAATTACAAGAATAACTGCCAAAAATAGGGTTTAGCAAACACAGGCTGGCCACCTACATTTGTAAATAAAGTTTTATAGGAGCATAGCCATTCTCATTCATTTATGTATTGGCTATAACTGTTTTCACACTACAAGAGTTGAGTAGTTTCAACAGAGACTGTGTGACATGCAAAGCCCAAGATATCACTATCTGGTCTTTTATGAAAAACTTTGCAGAGCCCTAGTCTAAAAGTATCCGTGTATATGAAAAATGATTAAATGAGAATATGGAAAAATAAAGTTAATTTACTATGGTGGGCATATGTTGTAATTTTTATATACATTTTTAAAAATTGTATTATTATTACAATGCAGTTTGTACATTTAATAAATATTTTTTAGGAAAAAATAATTGACTAAGAAATTACTATTTTTTCTTTCTTTCTTTTTTTTTTTTTTAAGATTTTATTTATTTACTTGACAGAAAGAGACACAGCAAGAGAGGCAACACAAGCAGGAGGAGTAGGAGAGGGAGAAGCAGGCTTCCGGCTGAGCAGGGAGCCCAATGCAGGGCTCAATGCCAGGACCCTGGGATCATGACCTGGACCGAAAGCAGACGCTTAATGACTGAGCCACCCAGGTGCCCCAAATTACTATTTTTTCAATGCTTGAAATTATGAGGGGAAAAGCAAATACAAATATGTATTGTAGAGTTATTAAAGCCTGGCATGGATATTCTAATTTCCATGTACCAAAGAACATAATCAGAAATACAGGATGGAGGGGCACCTGGGTGGTTCAGTGGGTTAAAGCCTCTGCCTTCAGCTTGGGTCATGATCCCGGGGTCCTGGGGGATCGAGCCCCGCATTGGGCTCTCTGCTCAGCAGGGAGCCTGCTTCTCCCCCAACCTCCCTGCCTGCCTCTCTGCCTACTTGTGATCTCTGTCTGCCAAATAAATAAATAAATAAATAAATAATCTTTTTAAAAAAGGCATCATCTACATAACCTTAGGAATACATACAAAACTATCTAGAAAATTTAAACTGTACCCATTAACAATATTTTTGGAAGTGATATTTGGAAGGACTTTTTGTTTCTTAATATAATTCTAGAGTATTTAATTTGATAAAGAGCATATATCAAAAGAAGAAATATATGTATATATACACCTTTATTTTTTTTATTTTTTATTTTTAAGTACTCTCTATACCCAGCACGGGCCTCAAACTCCACAATCCCAAGATCAAGAAGCACATGCTTTACCAAGTGAGCCAGCCAGGTCCTCCTGTGTATCCAACTTCAAAAATAATACTTAAAGTTTTTAAATAACCTAGTTAAAAATTTATGAAAAGCTGAACACAAAATTAGATAAAGAATATGATCTCAGGTTCAGGAATAAAATATACAAAAACAAGAACAAACAAAATATCAAAATATTAAGTGTTTTTTTTTTAAGATTTTATTTATTTATCTGAGAGAGAAAGAAATCACAAACGGGGAGGAGGAATAGAGGGAGAGGGAGAAGGAGAAGGAGAAGCAGACTCCCTGCTGAGCAGAGGGGGGGGGGCTCCCACCGCCCCCCCCCCCCCGAAGGGCTCAATCCCAGGATCATGACCAGACCCAAAGGCAGACAGATGCTTAACCGACTGAGCCACCCAGGTGT